GCCTGTCTATTATTGAACTTCAGAAGTGTATACAAGTGGATCTGATTCTTCACATAACGTTTGAAGCTAAAAGGTACCTGGGTATGGAATCAAAATGAGGAGAAGAAGAGGGCAGCTTCAGCAGTATAAAGCAAATGCAAGGCTTCAGCAAATGTAATCTAGCAACCACACAGCGGTAGGATCAATTGAAAACCAAAACCGTATTGCTACAACCCAGGAAGAAGGACAAACGAAACAGCAACTAATAGACAAACAAACAGCCTCAATTTAAGCTCAACCCCTCTCAGAATTAAACCATGAACCTCCAGAAAGTTTCAACAATCAAATCCTTAGGCTTAATGATGCCAAATCAGTTGATGAACTTTGAAATTGACCTAGACTTCAATAGAACAGTATTTTTGGTTTTCTATAGCTTTTTGTTTTTGAATTTTAGTTTTCAGATCTGAAAAGCTGGAGAACACTGTTTTTTGGGGGGAATTTGAAGGCTCCAAAACTTTGGAATTTTTCAGAGGGTTTCCAAACTTGCAAATGAAGGCAAGGGCACGCCCTTTTATAGGCACACATAAGGCCTTATCAGATTTTCAGTTTTATTTTTAGTCCTTCTTTATTTACTCATTTAACCCCTTGTTTTCTGACTTGTGTCACAAGTTAATACACTACAATTACTGAAATTACACTAAAGACCTACTTTGGAAGGTCCTAGAAGATTCTAGTTTCAACTACCATGTGCTATCCAATCCTAAATGTCTAAGCTACCCTTGAATTCAACCTAAAATTACTAACCCAACCAAACTCCTTTTGTTCTAGTTAAGATTCAACTATAGTTAATTAAAGACTAAGCTATTCAACTATATCCAATCATCTAGGCCTAAATACTTTAAAAATACCGAATTAAAGAACAATTATTGATGAAATTGAAACAGATTAAACTAGACTAATTAAACTAACAGAACTATTGATTCAATCAAGCAAAAATCAAACAGTGCCCAAAAGAGATTTGAAACACGATTAAACTAAAATCTAAAAAGAAAATAAAAATCAAATTACAGAGCTAATACACATGTGTTTAACCAAATACTACACTACTTATCAGAATTGCCAAACACCAACTGAATCAAAGTAAAACTAAAAGAAAAAAAATCTAACTACACTACAATTTAAACCACTCAGAATTAAACTTAACAATCAGAAACAAAACGAAAAAATCAACATTAAGCTAATATGAACCAATTACTGAAATTCGTAAAAGCAAACAATTGCATTGGAATAACACGGATAAACAAACACACATAAAAAAAAGAAATTGAGAAACTCACTGATTTTCGGCTTTAATGCAGCAATTTGAAATTGGCCCCAAAAATGATGTTATATGTCTATTCCATGTCAAATAAGCATATGATATCACTTTCAGGGCCATTAGACATTGGTAATCGAGAGTCGCAGTTTCAACCTTGCTTAAACCCCTAGATGTGAAATTAGGGCCATCAGGTTGGGTTTTTTATGAAATAATCAAGAGTACGGGGTTTGTGGTGACCTGGTAATTATAGGGTGTGAGTTTGGTTGAGTTTGGACGGCAGCGCCGCCGTGCACGGTGGTGGCGGCACCTAGGGTTTGGTAGATTTGGGGGTTTTGGTTGGGATTTGAAAGAAAACAAGGTTGGATTTGGGAAGAGGGGAGCGAGGGGAGGAAATGGTGTAATTTTGGGCGTCATTGGACGCCGGCCGCCGCCGTGAGGCGATTTCCGGCGGCGGCGCAAGGCGAAGCCGGTGGGGAACAAAGAGTACGAGGAAGAGGGGAATGGTCTTTAGGGTTTCTAGATTTTCAGACACTTTTATGTAAAAGTCCAAATCAATTATGGACCGTTGGATTAGATGGACGGAACGGACCAGATTAATTTTAACTTAAAGGTATCAAACGACGTAGTATTGGCATGATACTACGCCGTTTTGGGGGATCCTAGGGACTGAAGATTGGACCGGGTATTGAGTGTATTTGGGCCTGGCTTGTTTGGTTTTGGGGGTGGGGGGGCCGTTTGGGCTTTAAGAATTTTAAAGGATTTGGCCCAAAACAATTCAGCTCCTCTTTTATCTTTCTCTTTCTTTTCAAATTAACTCTCTTTTTTTAATTTCTTTTTAAAAATAAAACTAAAAATAAACCTAAATTGATTCCTACTCAAATTATCTTAGCAAATTAATTACCATAATTAAGAAATTAAAGAAAAACTACTAAAAATCCACATTGGAATTAAAAGGCGCAAAATGACTATTTTTTGTGATTTTCCTTTTTATAAAACAACCTTATTACTATTCTTAAAATGCAAAATTAACTCCTAAAGGCACATACAACACATTTTTTGTATTTTTCACTAATTAAAATGCACAAACAAAATGTAAACAATTAACAGAAAATGCCACGAAAATCCACAAAATTGCAAATACTGAAAGAAGTTATTTTGTTTTGAATTTAGGAGTAATTCACATAGGGCAAAAATCACGTGGTCACATGTTGTTGTTGTTGTTGCTGTTGTTACTGTAGTTGTCTTTATCCCCTTTTCCTTATTGCCCTTTGTCCCTCTATTCTTTCTTTCTTCTTCCTCTTTCTTTTTCGTCTTCTTCCTTTCTCTCTTTTCACCTTTTCTTGAGCCAATAGTCTATTGGAAACAGCCTCTCTACCTTGCCAGGTAGGGGTAAGGTTTGCGTAAACACTACCCTCCCCAAACTCCACTTGTGGGATTATACTAGGTATGTTGTTGTTGTTGGGTTTTCAAAAATCATTATTTGTTTGGATTGGGTGTTGTTGCAAATAATTAGAAATATTGTTTGGAGTTTATATCTCAATTTTGGGGGTGTTCGGTGAAGATTAGACTTGATTTTGGCTGAATCTCAGATTGAAACTCGAAGAAGAAGAAGAAGAAGAACATATGCCATACAATATACTTACGAAATTGTATTAAAATTGTATTTAAGTTGTATTCTCTTGTAGTTATATTTTTTTATTTGAAATATTATATGAAAGTTGAAAAATAGTTGTATAATGTATGAATCGTTGTATGAAATTTATATTTAAATTATAAATACTATCTTTTTACATAAAGTTGTTGATATGTATCAAAATTGTATTAAGAGAGGAAGTTTTGATTGAAATTTCAGAGAGCAAGAAGAACACACACATACAAAACATATACAAATCGTTTACAAAATACAAACAAAAGACATTTGTATAAAATTTGTATGAAAATTGTATTAAATTGTAGTTGTATTTAACTGGGTAAAAACGATATATGCAAGTTGTAGATAAGTTATAAATAAGTTATATACTCTATAATTAGTTCTACAAAATTTATTTTTAGTTTATATATTGTAGATATATCAAATATGTTTCAAATTTGAATAACAACAACTGTGAGAGACGTAATATATAGAAATGACTGTGGAGAACACATATGAAACTGTACAAATCATCTCCAACCAACTCTTAAAGCAATGAGATCATAAAATTAATTTAAAGTGCGAATAGAATGGCGCGTTGAATCCAAATTATCGGCATCACGTCTGGTAATTAGAGTATTTATGCATCGACTCCCTCAAACTATTGTATATGGAGAGAGGTGGCAGATAATTGGTAAAGAGGAGAGTAGATATAAAAGGAAAAAGGTGTAGCTGAATCCTCTAATTTAAAACACTAATAATGAATTTTTATATGGAGAGAGACAGCAGCGAATAAGGAAAGGGGAGATGAGAGTAAAAAAGAAAATGTTGTAACCGAATCCCCTAATTTAAGAAACTAACAATGGATTGTATATAATTATAAGTAATCCTTATTTAGGGCGGGTAATATACCAAATTAGGACAATTTGGTAAATAAATTTCATATATCGTATAGGAAGAAAAAAATTCCTTTTTATCTTTTATTCGAATTTTGATCCAGTAAGATTTGTATCATTCAAAAGAGGAATGAGTTTCTTGACAGACTTACCTTGATCCGTATTGACTTTTGATTCGTCAAGTTCAACATGAAATGGATGAATGGACGTGTTTAAATTTTTGGAAAAAAATATATCTCTTTTATTATAAAAAATAATCTAATAGTATAATTTTAATAAAGGATGGCTTCTCCTATGTTTTATCAAATTCGAGTGAAACAAAAAAGATTTATCGTCTCCTATAAAGAAATCAAAAAATATTTTTTTCTCTTAAATCTCATCTAATATTAATATTCGATCACTAATTAATCTAACAATTAAAATCTAATAATAAATTATAAATTAAAGTTCTATCTCAACGCGGAACAAAGGAACATATATAAGATGAGTAGAACTACAAAGTGCAGGCAACAATATACCATTCTTAAGGATTCATAGGATTAAATATACTCCGATTATTTTTACTTATTTACTATTGACTTTGCACACCCCTTATAAAATAATAAATAAAATGCATAATTTACAATGATACCCATATTAATTGGTGTATAGTCTTAATGAATTCGGAAAATAATTTAGAATAAGTAATATATGTTAAGGATAAAACAGGAAAAATATATTATTTTTCTTTTTAAGTGCGAAAGTGGACAAGTAAAAGTTAATCTATTTTAAAATATTGAAAGTGATAGGAGGAAGTACTTCTCAACTTTTAAGTATAGTTTAAATACTATGAGGTTGGAGCTTTATACTTCCTCCGATCCATAATAAGTGATTTTTTGACTTTTTTTTGTGGTCCAAAATAAGTGATTTTTTCAGATTTCAAGACTGAATTAATTTATTTTTCCTTATATCGCCCTTGGAGTAAATAATGTTGAAGTATGTGTTAGTAGTATTTATGTGAAGAGCTAGTAAAGGTTAATATGGTCAATTTTATTGTTAATTAATGTTAAAAGGTGAGTTTCTTAATAGGTGCGAAAACAACCAAAAAATCACTTATTTTGAACCGGAGGAGTAATATTAATATTAATATAAAAGATTAATAAATCATAAAATTGAGTAATTTTAGAATGTCCAGGCACAAAGTCTGTCTAGTGAATTGAGTTTTTGGCCTTTCCCTCGTTCCTTCCACTTAAAAATCCACTCAGAAAACCCTCGGCCTCAACGCTTCCCCGGCTCTCAGCCTTTTCCGCCGAGCTTCCCCGGCCTAAAATCCATTCTAGGCTATTCTAGAATTCGTCGGAGGACGGAGGATGATAAGCGCTTCTCTTAGAGGACGTTATGACGGTGACGTAAGCGGCGCCATTGGCACCGTCACCGTTGACGGCGGCGTTGTCAAGCTGAAAGCTAACATGACCGATGCCACCTTCGTCAATGGCCCCTCCTTAGAAGGTCTTTCTCTCTCCCTTGAAAAACCTGGCTCTTTCCTTATCGACTATGACGTCCCCAAAAAGGTACTGTATTTCTCACCTACTTCCTCAGTTACAATTTGTTTGGCAATTTTTTTTAGCTTATCCAAACTCTATTCCCTCCGTTCCCCCAAAAAAGGTACATATTTTGAAAGTCAAACAGGTTGTTATTTGATCACGACTTTTTCAATATACCTTAAAATATTTCGAATCGTTAATTATTGTGAGTTATAATATTTTTTTATTTTGGTTTTCAATATTTATATTTTTATTAAAAGCATTCAAAAATGGTATCCGAATTTATGGTAAAAGTCAAGAAATTTGACTCTCTAAATTTGAAAAGTATCATCCTTTTTTGGGATGGAGGGAGTACTAAACTAGCAATTCTCTTAAAATTGATAAGTTGGAACAAATATTCTAATGATTAGCGGGTGTGCATAGCAACATATTAAAATGTACTCGAATTTCACTTAGTCAGAGATCTCGAAAAGTGAAAAGTACTGCAGTAGATTTTTTGGGACAGAGGCTGTGCATAGCAACATCATTATCCAAATACCTTACTAGAGATTGACTAGATTTGTCATTTGTCCTGTTTTTTCAATAGGATGTGCGTTTTCAATTCATGAATACTGTGAGTGTTTTGGAAAAGCCTTTGAACTTAACGTATACTCATTGGAGGGGAGACAATAGAACTGCACTGGACGGGACGTTGGTGATAGACTCGGCTAACAAATTTTCGGCGAATTACGGGTTTGATTCTGGTAACTGCAAGTTAAAGTATAGTTATGTGCATAGAGGCTTGACTACATTCGAGCCAAGCTATGATTCTGCCAAAAATTCGTGGGATGTTGCCGTGTCACAGCGAGTGTACGAGGATGATGTGGTCAAGGCTTCATATCAAAGTTCAAGCAAGATTTTGGGACTAGAATGGTCTAGGAATTCCAGTTTAAGTGGAGGATTTAAGGTACTGTACTGTTTCAATTTTGACTTGTGCATTGTAGTAGTAATGAATGCGGTTCTGTCCTCTCATTGCACTAATGGAATTTATTCTTTTAGGATCCCTTTCGAGTTGAATTCTTAAGGCACGAGAATTGTTAAAACCAAATAAGATGAATAATTTCTTGAAGTGGATTATTTCCCAGTTATATCTCTTTTGATTCTATTTTCGACTTGAATTCACATTTTCTAGCTAACATGGTTCTTCTTGTTTTAAAATTGAGAATCCTTCAAGCTTAGCAACTCAAGACTTAGTTTAACTACCCTAAAATTGGACTAGAATAAAAGTGTCCTTTTAGCTCAATTCATTCCATCATTCTCTATAGTTAAGTAGACCGATACACTAGTCCAACATACCATTATGCTTTTTTTTTGGTTTGGGTGGGTGGGTATTGTGGCTAAATTCAGAGACCTAAATGACCACTACCTCCATAATCACCTGGGAGCTCAATGCAACTGGCTCCATGTGTTGTTTATTAAAAATAGTTTTATTATTATTATTATGAGAGTTAGATGGTTACAAACTTAATTTTGTGGTTACCGCACCACACTTGAACTCCTACGGTAAAACTAGGCTTCAATGGTAGCAATTCTACAGTAAGTCATATTGCTAATGTCTTTTCTCTCTATTATTTTTAAATATTACTAATTGTCATACACAACACCATGCCCGTACTTGAAACACGAGACATGTAGTTCTTTGGGTTGATTTGGTCCATGATATTGTGTTCCTTTTCCCTTTCTTGTCAACCATGTAGCTTGTCTTGGTTCGGCTGATTTATCAAGCAGGGAAAGCAAAAGGCAAACATGCCTCATATTTTTCATTATACTACTGATTTGCACCTTATGCTTGGTTCTGTCACTAAAAGTGATCTCCAAAATAATACCACCATTAGAGATCTGGACAAAGTCAACTTTTTATGGTATTGATATTGCCTTATCTTTCTCTTAGCTATATAATAATATGTTTAACTTGCCTTGTTGTTGTTGATGATTTGATGATGTTTCTACTCACTATCTATTTGTGTGTACATGAAGTAGAATTTGCTTACACTAGGACTCTTCTGCTTTAATATATAGCTCTGTTCATTGCATATTAAGTTTCATTTTTGGAATCCCGCTACTAATGTGTGGCTTCTCTTTTTGTCTACTAGATCTCTGCGTCTGTGAATCTGGCAGAAGACTCCAAATTTCCAACACTAAGTGCTGAGAGTAGGTTGAATTTTGATATGTAGCTTGTAAACTTCTGCGAGATTATACTTCAGGTGCCACATATGGGCCAGCTTGGTCACGCATACTGTTTTTGAAATGAATCAAAAAAGAAAGTTGCTGTCCTCTCATTTGAATATTTCTCCATTAATGAATAACATCTCCCTTCTTGTGGCTACATAGCTGAAATTACATGACTTAAGCAGCATTCAAATTCCGCATATTGATACATTTCAATGAACTGGTGGGAGAAGGATATACTTTTATGAGTGCAACTACATCACCTCCCTTCTTATTTGTTGGTACGACATCTTGCCAGAGATTTAGTTTCTTTAGAGCAGACAATCAATCTGAAACATTTGTAGCACACCATACTTTTGCTTAACGATGGACACGATCCTTTCACCTCCAGAACATCTGTGACTAGTTTATGAGGTCGAATGGCATGAGTATGAGCTTTTACCAGATCGTGTATCTGTTAGAATTCTTCGGACGGTTCTTCTACAAACCTAAGTTGATTTCGAAGGTCTTTGGAATCAGCTTATAATTAGAACTCGTGAGCATCACCTCAAGCTCATCCGTACCATCATTGAGCAATCTATAGCTCAAAGGCAAATGCCTAAAATGGTTAATGCACTGACTTCTCAAATTCGTGATGCTGTATATATTTTGGTTTAGCAGTCCCCTATTTTACTCAATCTATACTATGGATACAGGGGTGGATCTGGTGTTATGATTCCGGATTCATCTAAACCCATTACTTTTGATACGGAGCATAAATTTATATGTAAAATTTCACTAAATTTTCAACAAATAGTAAATATGAACCTATAAGTTTAAAATTGTAATGAATTTAATGTTAAGAAACTTAAAAGTGAGCCTATAAAATTCAAATCTTGGATCCGCCTCTATATATGGATAACAACAACAACATCCACTATGTTCCCACGTGTGGGAGGCAGCCTAACGAACAAAGCATCTCGTGTTCAAGCCTAGATAGCCTACCCTAATACAAGCATTAGTGGCTGCTTCCACAGCTTGAACTCGTGACCTATAGGTCACGCAGAGATAACTTTATCGTTGCTTCAACAGGGCTCCCTTCAAATGACTATTTTGAGTAGCTTTCGAAGTTTAATTAGTGTTACAGTTTTAGTTATTGTTTAGCTTACTGTGCAAGTCTTACGGGAATATTGGCAAGTTACTTTACATAAGATAAGTACAACATAACAAGCACTTGCTTCGTATACCAAACATCAGACTTCATTAGACAGGATTATCTAACACTATATAAGGATTCTAATCAGGTCAATATACCCTCAGATTCTCAATAAGTTACAGTGGTATTCAAGAGTAAAATAAAGGACGGTTCCTTAGTTACCACGTCAATGCCTGAAATGAGGCTATAATAAAACCAATATCTCAGGGATATCCTGTCTCGGGATCTCCCATTATCTCCAACAAAGCGCGATGCACAACAATCGAACAAGTGACCACCTCATAAAGTTGAATAACAAGTTATACGGTTATGAAAAAATGTCAAACATATATGGATAGTGCAACATTAACCAAGACTTCAGCAACTTTATCTCCAAAAGTGTCTTACAGAGGCTTCTCTTCTAGATCAACGGAGCAGCAGAATGTCCCAATTGCTCTATAATTTAACAGTCACTTTTTCACTGAAGGAAGCAGATTGCACCTTCTCAGAAACAATGATATAAAGTGTACATAGAAAATGTGTACAAAGCCCTTTCAAGTCATCAGCTATCAGCAAACGGCATACTAGAGAAAGAACCTTCACATTGAACCACCATCTGTGAAAAGCTATTAATTGTCAAAGTTGTGGCAACAAATTTGATTAATGCCATCACAGAAGAGAGACCAAAAGTACCAGTTACTGTTATGATTACGAGAGAAACAAAGCAATGGATCAACAGGAAGAAAATGGTAGGTCCCAACTCCCAAGTTGTGAACTCATGATAAACAAGAGAAATTCAATGATCTAAAACCCCTCATAAATTATGGAACACTATCATCCATCAACATCCAACTAGTAAGCCTAACTAGTATGATTGGCCTTCTTATCACCGGCTTCAAGTTTAGCCAGACCAAGCTCCTCTTCCAGCTTGGTCCAAGCTTTTACCAAGTTAGGTGGGAACTTCTTCTTCACTGTCCTACTCATCCCTTTTGCATCTTTCAACTTTGATCTCTGCACCAATCCTTCCACCAAATACTTTAGTGTACTGAAATCCGGAATCTTATGAACTCTCACACTCTCCTTGAAAACTTTATACCCCGTCTCAAACCGTCCCTTCTTACACAAATAAAAGATCAAAGTCCTAAAAGTTGCAGCGTTTGGATTGCACCTGTTTGACTCCAAATCCTCATAAACCTTCTGCGCCTCATCCATCAATCCATTCTTACAATAACAAGTCATCAAGTAATTGTAGCTAATCGTGTCAGGTTTTAACCCTGCATCACTCATTTCCTCAATTAATGCTTTCACGCCCTCCGGATCACCACCCTGAATGTTCATAATCTTTACATTGTATGCACCAACATCTGGTCCACACCCTCTGTTCACCATCTCATTCCAAACTCTTTCAGCCTCATCGCTCTTCCCCTTCTTATAAAACGAGTGCAGTATAGTAGTGAAAGTAACAGTAGTAATCTCCACGTCTTTCTCTTCCATCTCCTTAAGCCTTTCCATTGCCATTTCTGGTGATCCATTTTCACAATATGACCTAATTAATATACCATATGAGACTTTATCAGGTAAAAATCCATACTTTACCGGAATTTCATCAAACAGCTGAGGGACACGATCATACTGTTTCGCGTGCACGCAAGCTGATAAAAGCACATTGAAGGAAATTGCTGATCTGGGGGTGCCTAAATCATCCATCTCATGATAAATATTAAGCGCGTGATCGAACATTCCGGCGACTCCATATGAACGAATTATGGATGAAAGAAAAGGCTCTTGAGTAATTTGTGAGCTATTCTTGTGAGAGTCGAGGAAACTTTCAATGTCGGAGAAACGGTGGGATTTAGCGAGGCGCTTGACTGTGTATTCCTGAGCATAACGGGAGGACAAAGGGGAAATATAACGGTCGGAAACGGAGGAGTAAATCTCTAGGGCTTTGTCGGGGTCGTGCTCGGCTTTGAGCTTTGATTTAGCTTTGGAGATAGAGATGGTGGCGCTGGAAGCTGACGAAACAGCGGCCGCGGCGATTGAGAGGTGGCGTGCCTGGCGCAAAGCGACGGAAGAAGACATTTTTTCTAGGGTTTAGTGGGGTCGGGGATGAGTTTTGATATGCTACTCAAGGGTGAACATGGAGTAGGGTTTAAGGAGACGTTCTAAGGCTTTGACTCCAGTTTCACGCTGACTGGGTGAAAATGGAGTAGGTTTTGATGCTCAACAGCTCAAGTTTCTACACGAGTAGAGGATAGACTTTGATTCTTTAAAGGGAAACTTATGCAAATGTCCCATATAAATCTCAATTTATCGACCTCTAGCCATTAGTCATAGACTTATCAAAACTAGCCAACAAAAATTGAAAATCCAAATAATAGGGTTCTTTCTATCAAAGAATTCACATGCAAAAATCACCTTCCATATTTTTAAACGTGATTAGCAACATTAGATACAAGACGAAAAGGAAATTTCATGGACGGGGTAGCAAATAAGGTGATGAAATATAAAAATCTATACAATATTCCAAAAATCTAAACAAAACAGGAACTTTTTCAATGGGTATAGTTGAAATTCATTGAAAATATATAGATAAGTCAATATACAAAATTTGAGGAAGATTGAAGGTGATTTGGACTAGTTTGTATCAAAATTCTTAATTAAATCGAGTTTAAAAAAGTCTTCTGCGACACATGTATCAAACATGTATCACGCATGTATCTCACACACAGGTATACATGGATATACACATGATACACAATTGATACAAATATGATACATAAGTGATACACAAATGATACACATATCATTTTTTTTCATGTTCAGCTTTTACTTCAAATTTTCAATTCAAACCACCTCAAAACTTCAGCAAATCATCCCAAAAATAAGATTCAAGCTCCTTAAGTTGTGCCCAATCTATTCTAATAACACCCACTCAAAACAAAGCAAAAATTTGATATTTTTTTTGCTACAAATAGCTAATTGGCTAATTTGGCTAATATTAGTAATATTTTATCAATTGGCCAATTTTTGTAATGAGCTACTTATAAATGGGCATAGCTGGTAATTTCCCTTCTTTAATTATAATGGGTTTTGCAAATAATAATAATTTCTATTTTCTATTTTCTATTATCTACTCCCTCCGTTCCAATTTATGTGAACCTGTTTTACTGGGCACGAAGATTAAGAAATAATAAGTACTTTTGTAATTTGTGGTCCTAAATAAATCAAAAAGGGGTCCAGAGTATTTATGTGGTTATAAAAGCTTCTATTAAGGGTAGAATTGTGAGTTTAAGCTAAATTGTTACCAAATTTAGAAATAGATCATTCTTTTTTGAACGGTTCACAAAAATTAAAATAGAGGAAGTATTTATTATTATTATTATTATTATTTGTTATTTACTTTGCCAATAAAGTTTTTTTTATTATATATAAACGACAGCTTTGCCCTAAACTGAATTGACACATACCCCTCCTCTATTTTACTGTCTTTGTAGCTCTAAATTTTTCGTTCATCGCCGTCCACCGTTTTAGCATCTCTCTGCGCCTTTTTTCCCGTAGGAAGCTTTTTTGTATTATCCTTTGTATACAATATAGTTGCTCTTGGTACTGGGCTATTCTTGCAGTTCTTTGCGACTACCTTCGCTAGGAGATTTATGTTGTTTCACTGCTTTTGATCGGTGAGTGTTACTAATATTCTATCTCCTTTTCTTCTTTTTCCTTGCTTTCATAGTCCAAATCTGCATTTACAGCTTTGATTTGGATGAATAGCCATTAGTATAGAGGAGTAAGACAGAAAGAATTCTAGAGCTGGAAGCCTGAAAAGAAGATAAAGATTAATTATAACGGAAAAGGGCCTGATATATCCCTCTACTTTGCTTTATTGTTCAATCTTGTCCCCCGTTATACTTTTCGTCAAGATTTACCCCTGCCGTCCATCAAAGTTTTATATTTGCCCCCAATTTTAATGACCGGGACACGTAACACATTTTAAGAGAAAGAACCAATGCAAAAACAAGAAAACTCCAAACCGCCCTAGATACCATGACCCGCATGCTCATTTTTCCTCTCTTAATTTTTTCCCAAATTTCTCTTAAATAAAAATTTTTAATCCCGTATGCTCGTTTTTCCTCTCTTAATTTTTTCCCAAATTTCTCTTAAATAAAAACTTTTAATCCGTGTATGAGATTATCTTACTGTGACAAAGAGATGAGGTTAAAAGACACAAGGTTCTGTCATCTCTTTGCTTGTTGCCATTATTTTTTTCTTTACTTCTATTTTTTTTACTCCTCACTCCCTTACCTTATTTTCTTCCTCTTGTTATCACTGAATGTAACTCCATCTTTGAAAACAAAACTGCTCGGAGTCGCCCACAATTCCTTGCATGTATATTTTCTCTCAATCCCATTGATTTAAGGAAAAATTGAAGTAGGTGCGGCAGATAATTTGAAACTTCAGACGAGCTTGACGGAATTCTTTCTCTGGCGATCTCAAAAACAACGATAGGAGGTAGGGTCCAATTTCGAACAGTTCAATGAAGCTGGGGAAGTAATTTCTACAGCTAAAATAACTATAGTAAGATTTCACACATGCCCAAGTACTCAAGACCATTCATGAAGTCACGCCGCCGTCGGAGATGATGCAATTGAAGTCTGGGGCTGCTGGCAGTGGTATGAACACCAAGAAGCAATAATTTTTTGAAGAAAGAAATCACCTTTGTGACTCTAAAGCCTTATATTTTTATATTTTTTTCTACATTCGGAAACCCTAGCTGGAACCCATTTTTTGTTCCCTTCTGATTTTTAGATGGAAGTGTTTTTAGGTCAGATAGGTTTTTACTGTGGGGATAAAATTTTATAAAGTTAAAAATGGTACAGGGTCAGGCGGGGCAAGGGAGAGGGTCGGGTTGGTTTAATTCATGGGTTGGTTTGGTTCTTTCATTCAGAATGTACCACGTGTCCCAACCGTTAAAATAGGGGCAAATATAGAACTTTGATGGACGGCAGGGATAAATTTGGACGGAAAGTATAACGGGGGACAAGATTGAACAATAAAATAAAGTAGAGGGATATATTAGGCCTTTTCCGTAATTACAAACTGAAATAGCATAGTTGAAATGAAAACTATTGCATAAAGTTATTTTGATTCTTTATTTTTTTTATTTGACGTAGGAAAAAAATTTATAACACATATTTGAATCAGCCAAACAATTCCTTCATATTTTCATTCCAAGAAAATAAATAAATTAAGATACTTAAAATTCTAAGAAAATTAAACGAAAAGAACATAAGCCTGTAATAGGCCATTGAAAAAAACAGAAGACACGAAGGAAGAAACTAACTCAAACTCAGCATTCATTACCATTTTAAGATGGAGTATGAGTATTAAGCTTCTTCAACCCATCTTCAACTATCCTATTCTCTTATTGTCCACCTTCTTCTTGCCGTGATTGCGGAGTATCTTTTTGTCCAAACATATAAGCAGGCACAAAGAAATGAAAAATGAATAGAACAGGAAAAATAGAGTTTTTTGAAAGAGAAGATTAACAATGTCAAAAGAACATTAGGATCTGTCTTTTCTCAGTCAATAAATGAATTTTCAAGGCGATAATAAGGCATCAACTCTGTATACAAGAGAGAACCATCTCATGTGTGTACTATATATATAGTCCATTTTTACTCCACCTATTACAATACTTGTTGCAATGTGATGTTTTTTTTGTGCTAAAAGAATGTATTCTTATATCTGCAAATATGCCTTTCTTTGATCATAAAGGGTTTTTATTGTGGATAGGCCGGAAATAAACTGATAGAGAGAGAAACTCTCAACTCTCACTAGGACCAAACCAAATGAAAAACCCACCCAAATCAACTAACATACCACCGGAACCATCGGGCCCAAATAACACGGAAGAAGACACCCCAAATACACACTCTTACCAGGAGATGCTCCTTGACAAGCAAGCTACTTCACAAACAGATTACTTCACAGCTGAGATGGGGAATACAGAAACCCAACAAAAAGGCAAAGGGAAAATGGACCAATCTTACTATCTCAGGAAGATAGAAACAGATTCTATGAGCCATGGCGTCATTCAGTCATCATCAAACTATTTGGTAGGCGTATGCCTCATCACCTTCTCTGAACCAAACTAAATGAACTATGGAACCCGTCCGAACAGTTAATTTTGATTGACTTAGGATGGGATTTCTTCATAGTCAAATTTGGCAAGGAAGAAAATCTGATTAAGGCAATCCACTAGGGGCCATGGTTCATTACTAGAAGTAGGGGTGTGCATTCGAATCGGTTTATCGATAAATCGAATCGATTATTTGTTATCGGTTTATCGATATCGGTTTATCGATTTATCGATTTCGATTTCGATTTCGAAATTTTCCTTATCGAGTTATCGATTTCGATTTCGATTTTGTCCTCTTCGGTTTATCGGTTTATTGGTTTATCGATAAACCGATAAGAAATACTAAAAAAAAATTAAATTTTCTTTTAATTTTTTTTTTTTAGTTTTTTTTTTAAAATTTTTTTTGTCCTTATTCTATAATACCCTTTCCTTTACCCTAAGTCTCTAACCCAATTATTTCATCTACCACATTTAAGGAATGATCATATTTAAAGCTCAAGGGAATGAAGTTCAAATTAATGAAAAATAGAATTAGCCGTGATGATGTATTTTTTTTATACAGTTGGAGTGTTGGTGGCATACATTTAATCCCTTACTTTAGTTTCGTTGCATGTGCTTGTTGACACAATTTTTATGTTATAAACGGTGCTCGTCTTATTTTAGCTTCTTTTGGTTCATATTAGTTAGGCGTGTTTATAGTGATATACTTTCCGTGGAATCCCGCAAATTTTCTTATTGGTATAATCGATAACCGAATCGATAAGCCCCAAAAATCGATAAATCAAAATCGAAAAAATCGAAACCTTATTGAAACGATAACGATAAGCATATGTACAAATCGATAATCGATAAGTAATTATCGATAAAGGTCAAAATCGAATCGATAAATCGAATGCACACCCCTAACTAGAAGTTTCCTATCAGTTAGAAGATGGGAGCCAAAATTCGTCCCACAAGAAGCTACGCTATCCTTCAGTGCAATCTGGGTTCGCCTCCCACAACTGCCCACTGAATTCTATGACAAAGAAATCCTTGAAAAAGTGGGCAGAAAACTAGGAAAGCTATTAAAAATCGACACTTGTACTTCTGCGACACTCAGAGGCAGGTATGCCAGAATCT